CCCGGGCCCCCCCTCCTCCCGCTCTCCCTCCAGTGCACCGTCCGGCCCGCTCTTCTGCTCCATGGTATCCCCGCCAGCTCACCTCCCTCTAACCAGGGCCGAGCCGGGAGACACCTGGGCCTCTGCGCAGGCGCCCAGCGCCCCGGCGCTCGCGCATCAACCTCCTCGTGCAGAAACGCGCTCCGCTTTCGGAGGACGACAGCGCGCCTGCGCAGCAGGAAAGCGGGCCCGGGTTGGCGAGGGCTAAACAGCGCGTGCGCGCGAGGTCACAACGAGGCGCGGAACGTCAGTGCGCGAGCCGCGGTCGCACTGTGGCGCGCGAGTGCGGCCTTGGAGCGCGTCGCGGGCCCAGAAGGCTGCAAACCCTTCGCCCTTTCTGTCCTTGTTCTTTTGCGAATTTCCGGGCTTCCCTGCTCGTACAAGAATCATTCTTGAGTGGGACCTGGGAGCCGGCTTACGGTCCACGATGAGCTGTAAGGCAAAGAGTCTGCTGGAGGCGATAAAGTTCTCAGGAAAGGCTCTCGGTTTTGACAGAAGTTTGGAAAAGGTATTAGAGGCGAAGGCGCGGTTTCTAATGAAGGGAAAGAAAGCACCATGCTTGGTTCGTGGTGAGCGCTGAATAAATTGTCTCTGGCTAGATTCTGTTGGACTGCGTCCCTAAATTCACCTTAGTAATAATAATTACTACTTTAATGGAGCACAGTTATGTGCCAGGTGTGCCTACATTGATCTGTCAGTCTTTAAAACGAAAACGTAAGTGGTTTAGCCAGCAAAATGGCTTAGCCAGCAAAAATAGCAGAGGAATTGCATTTTGGGACATGCAAACTGTGGCCAACTATAGGCAAGTCCTCAACTGTTCTTTTATAACGAGGAGAAGAGAAAGTTGAGAGGAGCTATTTTGAACAAGTTCGCTGGAGGACAGGAGAGCTGGGGCTGTGGTCGTCTCATTGGTTGAGTTGCGGAGGTTTCTCAGCAGCTCGGTTGTTGCTGGACGAGGAGAAAATCTTCCTTTTTCCTGCTGGGGTTTATAAAGTAAGCTGGGAGGAGTGGTAAGTGGGGGAAAGTTCCCCCTTCAGGGCTTCCCAACTCCATTTTGAATGAGGTATTTTATAATAATAATTTTATAATTGTAACATTATATAATTGTTATTACAATATTATAAACATTTTAAAAAGAAGTGAAATTAATTTTAGTAAAATATTTTAAGTAACTCATTATATCCAAAACATTTAACATGTAATCAGTAGAAAAGAGTACTTTTTGTACTTAATCTTTGTAATCCCGTGTGAATTTTACACTTACAGCACATCTCAATTCATACTAGCCATGTTTCAAGTGCTCAATACTGACAGGTGACTAGTGGCTCCCATGTTAACTGCACAGGTCAGTATCATAGTAGGTGCTCTGTATTTGTTAATTTTATCAAAAATGGATTTTGTAGTTGTCTACTTTTCGTGTGGGAAAAGTTGTTCAGGCTAAAGTACAGGCTTATGCTTAGTGATCTATAAATCCAGTCGTGAACATGGTTTCTTTTACCATAAATTTTAAGGTAACGTGATCTAGACCAGTGGTTCTCATTTGAGGGTGGTTTTGCTCCCCATGGGACATTTGACAGTGTCTGGAGACATTTTTGATCATCACAACTGGAGTGTGGTGGGAGGGGTGGGACTGGCATCTAGTGGCTATTGGCCAGGGATGCTGCTGAACATCCCACACTGCACAGGTTCCCGCCCCCGTCCCCACGACAGAGAATCACCCACTCCAAACGTCAACAGTGCTGAGGTTTTGAACACTTGACTTAAACCATCCTCTTATCATTCATTTTGTCTTAGGTCAAAACTAGATGAATTGCAACTTTGTTGTTCTCTATAAGAATATATAAACCATGTCTTTGCACTGAAGTTTCAGTTGGTTGTTCAAATCTTGCGATTTCTACATATGTTGGCATGGAACAGAATGTGGTCTTTCTCTAAATCTCTGGTTAATAATTCTTTTTTTTTTTTTTTTTTTTTTTTTTTACCCAGTTCCTAAATACAATGATTAAGAATACTGATTTGGTGAAAAGTCAGCAAAATTGAACAATTATCTAGATTTTTGCGGTACGCAGGCCTCTCACCGTTGTGCCTACTCCCGTTGCAGAGCACAGGCTCTGGACACGCAGGCTCAGCGCCCATGGCTCATGGGCCCAGCCGCTCCGCGGCATGTGGGATCTTCCCGGACCGGGGCACGAACCCGCGTCCCCTGCAACGGCAGGCGGACTCTCAACCACTGCGCCACCAGGGAAGCCCAATACTTCTTCTTTTTTAATTAATTAGTTTATTTTTTGGCTGCGCTGGGTCTCTAGTTGCGGCGAGCAGGGGCTACTCTTCGTTTTGCAGTGCACGGGTTTCTCATTGCAGTGGCTTCTCTTGTTGTGGAGCACGGGCTCTAGGCACACGGGCTTCAGTAGTTGTGGCACTTAGGCTCAGTAGTTGTGCCTCACGGGCTCTAGAGCACAGACTCAGTAGTTGTGGTGCACGGGCTTAGTTGCTCCGCGGCATGTGGGATCTTCCCGGACCAGGGCTCGAACCCGTGTTCCCTGCTTTGGCAGGCAGATTCTTAACCACTGTGCCACCAGGGAAGTCCCAACAATTCTTTAAAGTCTCTTAATATAACTAGTGTGGTTTTTGCGCCTCACTGGATCTTGACTGACAAAATTATTTTACGTCAAAGAATTGTCCCTTTGGTGATTTAAATATGACACCAGAGATTTTTCAAGTCAAGAAATGCTCACTTTTAAGTGCAGGATTTTAAAATGCAAGAATATTGTTAAAACTAAATTGGAGTAAAGATGTATATGGTCTCTCAGACACACTTGTCCTCTATACCTCATTGCTTTTGCAAAGGTGAGAAGGAATAATGTTTCTGGGTGTAAGAAGCAAGTGAGATGTACAGTACTATTGTGTCAAGTCTGCTCCATCACCCACTCCCACAAAATCAATTAATCAAGGAGAATAACACTTGAAAATTTGGCTGATAATATTCCAGTGGGGATTTTGTTTTTTGGACAGATGTTTTGACCTGGCATATAGAATCTGATAAATGATGGTGACTTTCTGTTCCTCTAAAAATGATCTGTTGAAAAAGGCAAACTGCAAAATTAGTCATGGTACAGATGTCAAGTCAGTGCATGAGATCATACATTAGAACTTCTTTATTTAAGCCTGTTCTCTTTTTAAAACCTCTGTTTTATCAGTGTTTATAAATACCCACAAAAACCTATCTTTTATAAAACACTGATTCAGAAAAACTAACATGCAAAATAAATGTCCTACATGTGGTCTGTCACTCCCTTCACTCCAGCCAACTGCCAGCACCAAGCACCATACATGTGAATTATGCCATCTAAGTCAACCAGCTCCTAGCAATCTGCCAGCTGCCTGTAGAAACAAGAGTGAGTTCAGGCAAGCCCGACAGAAGAACTGGCTGGCTGAGCCCAGCCTAAATTGCCAACTGACAGAATCAAAATCTAATAAATGACTTTGTTTTAAGCCCGAAAAAGGAAGTATCCTGTTCTTGCTATAAGATCACTTTTTTTTTTTTTTCCGGTACGCGGGCCTCTCACTGTTGTGGCCTCTCCCATTGCGGAGCACAGGCTCCGAGGCGCAGGCTCAGCGGCCACGGCTCATGGGCCCAGCCGCTCCGCGGCATGTGGGATCTTCCCGGACCGGGGCAAGAACCCGTGTCCCCTGCATCGGCAGGCAGACTCTCAACCACTGCGCCACCAGGGAAGCCCTAAGATCACTTTTAAATCAGTCAACAAACTAAGTACTCTAGGTTATAAAGAAATGCCAATCACAATTCCTCACACTCTAGGAGTTTATCATCTCAGAGAGGAGAAAAGTGCGTTCCAAGGAACAGTCCCATCAGATGTACCCTGAGAAAAAAGAGTTCTATGAATAAATAATTTCAGAAAACATTGATGTTGTATACCCCCTTTTTAAAATTGTAGTAAAATACACATAACATAAAGTTCACCATCTTAACTATATTAAAGTATTCAATAGTAATTGCATTCACATGGTTGTAACATCACCACCATCCATCTCCAGAACTTTCCTGTAACTTTTATCATAGGACTTACTGTTCATTATTGAAAATATCTGTTGATTTTTCTGTCTTCCCTCTCCTCACTGAGAGCTTTTTGGGAGCAAGTCCATAGCAGAGTTCCATCTTGCAAAACTGGAACTCTACCCATTAAACAATAACTTCTCATTCCCTTTTTTCCCCAGCCCTGGCAACCCTCATCTACAGTCTGTCTCTCTGAATTTGGCTACACTGTGTATCTCCTCTGAGTGGAGCCATTATATCCCTTTTATATCTTAAAACTTTTGACTAGTTCTGTGATAAACATGTTTAACCTTATTATGTTTAAGTTACTTGCCAGTGGAACT